TCGTTTTCTGTGCTCTCCGTGTTGTATCAAAGGAAAGTAGGTGATTAATTCTTCCCAGTACTTCTTGTCTGGTAATATGAATGAAATGTCAAACGTAATAATTCATTGTCAACTGGCAGTCATGCAAAATTATACACTAATATCCGATCCCCGCCTCGCGGAGGACATGTCTCCAGTCGGTTTGTCTTGTGTTGGGAAGTAATAGCTATTTATCATGGCAATGAAAGCCGCGATAGCTCAGTCGGTATAGCGACTAGCTACTTCCTGGACGACCGAGGGGTCGGAGTTCGAGTCCCGGTGGGGACAACGGTTTTCTCCTCTCCACGTCGTCCAAGCGGGTTCTGTGGCCCGTCCAGCCTCCTCTCCAGTGGATATCGGAGGCTCTTTCTCTTGGGGTAAAGCGGTCGGGGTGTGAAGCGAGGTCAAGAAAACGTGGATCTATACATCCGCTCCCCCATACGTCATCATGGCATAGTGCTTAATTAGTTAAGCATTGAGACGACTTCACCTTTCGTGGCAATCCTGCGAAACACATACATTCAATCTAAGGAAAGTTTCTTATATGTTGAAGTAGGTGTATATACCTGTATATGGTAATCACTGTGATTTTGAGGGGTCAAAACAGATGAAAGTTTATGAAGCATCTGGTAATAAGTGAAGTGGAAGTCTTACCGGAATGTTGTAATTATGCATTAATAAAAGTGGATAAACTTGATGGTGTTCTTGTGTTGATTCTGTGCACAACGAACTTAATTAGAATTTTGAAATTAAAATTAAATTAAATATTGAAATTTTCTAAGCTTTCACAGCGACTGAGTTAACTGAATTGTTTCACCCAGGAGGCGATGGTGGATAGGTATGGGGCAATGGTGGAATGATGATTAACGGGGGGGAAACGGAAGAAACTCTTAGAAACCCCTGATCTTATGTCACTTGATCCACCATTACAAGGAGTCACCCGGGATTGAACCGGAATTGCCACGAGAAGCCAGCCCCTAATTATCAGGGATGTGGTACATACAGTGAGTTTGTATTTAAAATGCCCAGGTCCTAGGGTACGGTCATACTGTCACTTAACGCTGGGAATGGTTTCCTGGAAACGAGAGAGCTAACTGAATCAGCGTTATGCAAGGTCACTTTAGTAGAGTAGTTGCAGAGAATCTTTATTTATTACAGTGATACAATAAATAAAATATCCAAATATAATTAGAATTATTAATTTATTAAAATTCTTTAAGAAGTGTCTTCATCATTAAGAAACAGCCCTTTTTGAGCTACAGCCTTCCTTAGATGATTCTGATAGATTTGTCACTTAATTTTCACTTCGTTGGATTTCACAAAAATATTTTTTTTTTTTTATACATCAAGGTCGTCAGCCTTGCGTCAGCGCCAATCCGGTAGAACCAGGTCCCTGGTCTCTCTCCCAGTTAGACCCCCAGGCACCGGGTTCCATTTTCATCGCCTCCTACGACTTGCAGGGTTACGGTGGAGGTATTCGAACCCGCCTCCAGAAAGGGACTTGAAAAGTAATGCGTGGAGTATGGCTCGGTTGTGGTTCCTTTTCCGAGTAGCGCTCACTCTCTTCCTGAAGAAGGCATCTACTGTTGATTGCCTTGCCCGAAGCTCTATCTCTCGGAAGTATTTCCCTTTGTCAGGGTATGATACAGTTATCGCCTGTCTTCACTTAGCTCTGTGTTCTAAGTTTGGATCTCTTTCTGTTGAGGTATCCATGGAATCATTGATCGTGTTCTTGAGAACCTGTCAATAACGCGCGGTTAAATTTATGTCCACGTCAGCAGCATCAGTTGTAGCGTCTTCCGAACTCTCGACAGCGAAATTTTGTTGCTCCATCAGTTCTTGTTTTCGTGCAAAAAAAAAAAGTCATAAAGAATCAGCGTTAAACAGGGTCTGACTTCATAGGGTGGGCGACGTGGTAACGCGGTTGGTTGAGGCACTGTGCTACGAGCATCGATGTTTTCGCCCAGTAAATCAGAGTGTTACTGCTTGTTTAGTGGTAACTCACGAGTCACATGAAGTCAAATGAAGATGGCAGGTTTTTCAATTGAGTCTGGAATGAGGACAAATTCCACAACAGGACAGACAGCCTGGAGCCCCATGAAACAGAACGTAAATTACATCAGCCTAAATATTTTCATGATGGCTGTTGAGCAATGCAGTGTCTGTGATGTGTCTTGACAAAGTCGACGTGCATATCAGCTCCTCCAATCGCCTCATGGACGCAGCATTTGTATGATTTTATATAATGATGCCAGTAAGCATGATTTACGTGTTTTCATTCATTGCAGTGGGGCCATGTGTCGTAATGTTAAGACGTCCCCTCTCTTACGTCACGTTTTTGTGACCGAGTGTTATGCAGTGCATGTGCGCTTCTCATATTTCCCTTGTTTTCCTCTGAAGGCAGTAACTTTCTGCACGGTGAACTAATTCAATAAACGTTCAACGAGTTGGACGAACACAGCTCTTCGTGTGTTGTCCCATTTTAACCGAAACTGGAACGCTTCAACAATTTTTTTGGCCAATTTTGCCAATTTGCAATCTGCCTAACCGCAAATGCAGTAACAAGGAAATGCGATATATCTTCTTGTGTCCTGAAGGCGGTGACTGCGCAGCGGCAGTTCTCATCCATTTAATTCCTTAAGTCTTCTGGACACTTTTTCTTCAATCTTCTTGCATTAGCGTGTGGGTTCGATAGTTCATCGATTAGCTGGTTCTCATGGCCTGTAATCCGGTTTTAGTATTTGTTAGCTTGTTTCTGATCTCATCCGTTATGAAGGGTATGTTGAGGTCTTCGTGGAGGGTTTTATTTGATACGTACCCTGGTGCTCCTGCTATACCCCGTAAGGTTTTCGATTGAAACGTATGCAGAATTTTGGTATTGGATGGTTTAGCGCACCCCCACAGCTCAATGCCGTAGGTCCAGATGGGTTTAATAATTGCTTTATATAATAGGACTGAGACAGCTGTGAATGCTTTCCAGGAAGCCAGTTTCTCCGTCTTGCTTTTAACGTTAATTGTTGTCGTTTCATTTTTATGTGTGTTTGCCACGTTAGTTTGTGATCTAAGTGAAGTTCTAGATATTTTACTTCGGATTTGGTGGGTATAAGAGAATTGATGATTGTTACTTGCGGACAGCTAATTCGTCGAGTGGTGAAAGTAATTTGTGCTGATTTGTCATTATTAGTTTCTGTGCGCCATTTTTGGAACCACCGCTGCAGAAGATTTATGTGTCTCTGTAAGTCTACAGAGGCTATCAGGGGCTCTTGATTTGCTGAGAATATCGCTGAATCAACTGCAGAAGTGGCCCAAACACTGTTCTCTGTAGTTGGCAGGTCAGCGGTGTAGAGCAAATCCAGGAGCGGGCCTAAGACGCTTCCCTGCGGCACTCCGGATTTGATGTTATGGACGTTTGATACTTCATTATTTATTCTAATTTAGAAGTATCTTTCCGTTAAGTATGATTTCAGTAGCAAGAATATTTAACTCTGTAATCTTTTCTTGATTTTGTAGAGGAGGCCTTTGTGCCAGACCTTGTCGAACGCTTGTTGTATATCTAAGAATGCTGCAGTACAAATCTTTTTGTCGTCCATAGCTTCCATGATATAATGCACTGTTCTGTGGCATTGTTGCACTGTTGCGTGCCCTTCCCGAAATCCAAATTGGTGATTAGGAATTATGGTTGACAATGGTACTGAAGCTTTAATTTTGTTTAGGAGTCTCTCAAACGGTTTGGATGCTATAGGCAGGAGACTAATAGGTCTATATGTCTCTGTTTCTGGTTTCCCCGGTTTGGGGATCATAATTATTTGTGCAAATTTCCACTGAATAGGTTAGTAGCACAATCGGAGTATACTATTGAAGATGACTGTTAGTAGGACCAGGGCCTTCCTAGTTAAGTGTTTCAGGATTTCACCTACAATTAGGTCATACCCGGGAGCTTTGTGGGAGCTTATATTATTTACCTCTTGTTTTACCTCTTTTGG